AGCAACATCCTAACCAGGATATCGACCTAACCGGTCACTAACATAGCATCATCCTATATACCAGGATTCTGACCTAAACCATGTCACTAAACATAATACCGTCCTAATTACCAGGACGCAAATCTAACAGATCAATAAGCATATCAAACAAATACCAGTATATAATCTGAGAAAGGGCCGGCCTTGGTGCTTTAGACCCTGTTGATATAGTGAGGATAACTCACCTCGCACTGCCGATCTGAACTGAAGAGTCGAACTCCTGACTCGCTGCCTCACCAAAATCCCGAACAGCTGAGCTCTCGACTCCCAAAGCTATCAATACCGAAATATCACTTAGTTCAAAACAATCATCCTCCTTAGGGTAAAATGACCATTTTACCCCTAGTCCAACTTGGTCCTTTTCCAAGGCCTAAAACTGCAATATAAAAAAAAACCCAACACTAGGTAAGCTTCCCAAGCCCACTAGTGGCCCACTAATGGCCCAATTTGCTACATTGGGCCCAATCCCATTAATGGGCCTTACCCTAAGCTCAAACATATTCTCGGCCCATAATAACTTACTCCTGATGGCCCATCAAAGCCCAAATACCGAAGCATAGCCCAAATCGTGGCCCAATAAGACAAAGTCCATACTGACAGATTACGTGGGGCGTACATCTACGTATGCTAAGCGGACAAGCTAGAAGGTGCGTACGTTGGGCGTACCTGCATGTACGCTCAGCGTAAATCCCCTGTTAAGTCCTTTTCCCATTAAGGGCTTAATACTCCACTTCAGAAGCTATAATCACAGATCCTGATCCTTTTCCACGTCTTAATCCATAAAGTCGCTGACTTGGTGACTTTACTTGGCCCAAACAAGCCCAAACTCCAAAAATGATGCATTACTTCCATTAAGACATTCAAGATGGAGACTTTACTGCTTATGGGACCCTTTTAGCTCTGAGGGTGGTAACCCTAAGCTCAAAAACAAGATTTCATCATAAAGGTCCATTCTTGGGACCAAAATGACTCCAAAACCAAACTACACTAGATCTAAGTATTCTTAGGTAAAGTTATGAACTTTATACCTCCAAAGAGTTCCAAATGATGATGCTATTCCAAATCTATGAGCTCCAACTTCCCAAGTTCTTCCTTGCCAACTTCTTTTTTTCCTCTTCCAAGCTTACACCACCCAAAATGAGCTTCTTGAAGTCAAAATCACCCAAAGATGAAGAAATGAGGCATTTTAGGGTTTCTCTGAGGTTAGGGCGGCTGATAGGGAGGCTAGGGTTTGAGCCATACTGTTCTTTATATAGTGGTTAGCCCCAAAAATTAGGGTTTAGGGTCTCTGAGAGTACGCTGGGCGTACTCCTCCCCATACCCGCGATCATTTACTCCACTATGCTGGGCGTACACCAGCTTACACTGGGCGTACCCAGCCGGACATGTACATGCTTCGCTTGCATGCATGGGACTTGCTTGCCAAACATTTCCATTAGGGACCATTTATGCCAAATCCTTTAAAGTGCTATAACTTCTTCATTCTAAGTCTGTTTCCGACGAACTTTATATCCACGAAAAGGTGGCGAGAAGCCCTACGCTCCTGGCCACACACCCAAGCCTTAAACCTTCAAAATAAATCATGGGACCCTAAAAGACTGAATTACTTATACCCTGGGTCTCCGAGACCGCCACAAAGTGCTTTTCAAAACGGGGTGTTACATTGACCTTCGTTGACTTTTTGACCTTGACTTTGACCAAGTTTGACTTAGGTGCATTTTAGGTATTTTGAGGAGTAGTTTGAGATTAGGTCAATTTTTGTTGTATAGGTGACCTGTAGAGTTGGCATTTGGAGCAACATTCACTTCTGCTATCTTTCAGAATGTGAGGTGAGTTTCCTCATTGTACTTGTGGGTAGATTGGTGGATCTGTATGATTACCTGTATTTGATGGATATGTGTTTATGTTTATCTGTTGTATATGTCGACATATTGTGGTTGGGTTGAGACAGTCCTGCTTTGTGCTGAAGGTCAAGATACTCGAGGCATTCTGGATAGGTTGTAGGCCCTGCGAGGCGGTCCAGTCAGGCTTAAGGCCCAAAGAGCGGTCCATATAGGTTGTAGGCCCTGCGAGGCGGTCCAGTCAGGCTGAAGGCTCATATATGCATGTTGTTATCTGTATGGTCGTGTGTGGTACTTTAGGAGAACTCACTAAGCTTTGGCTTACATTTTGATTGTTATGTTTTCAGGTACTTCAGAGGTCAGGGGCAAGGCGAAGGTTGATCGTGCACATCCTTCGTATTTATGATATTTGATTTTGGGATACTCTGATTCACGATTATAACTTTTGGAAACTATGTTCTGTAAACATTTATGGTTTTTGGATTGGTTTTGAAAATGGAAAATTTACCTTGATTTTTGGGATATTACAGTATTTTGGGAAACTCACTAAGTCTGTCGCTTATCCAGTTATTATAAATGTTTTTCAGGTACTTCGTGAGAAGGGCAATGTTTGACTGTACTCACTCGCATTCGCAATCATGTTTCCGCATTATACTCTGATGTAATTGAATTTTGAATAAATAAAAATTAAAAATTTGGATTGAAAATCGAGACGTTATATAAACCAGCTTGTTTTTTCTTGAGTCTTTATTGCATAAATTATGGTTATGGATGATGTGAAAGAAAAACAGTTTATTATGAATTAAAAGCTACAATTTGTCATGTATTTGATATAGAATTTAATGGAGGATCCGGCAAAGATGGTAATTATAATAATATATTCCTAATTTATTGGGATATATTACAATCTTAGAGATTTTATAGGATTTCATATATTTTAGAAAGATAGATATCATATATTTTGAAAATGTTATTAGGGTAAAAGATTTTTTTTTTAATTTGAATTAAAGTTGATATGTTACCAAAAAAAGCCGGAAATTATAGAAGTGATAGAGAAATGTCACGTGTCAAAAACACATGCTAGAAAAGGAGGTATGTGTCATTTTTTGGTTTGTTCATTAGCATAGATAGATCAAATATGAAAACTAGATTTTACTTGTATATATTTAAACTCTTTGATTTTAAAGGGTAATTCTATACAAGTGAGGGGGACGGAGTTACCTATAGCAGCATTTTTTATTTTATTGGACCTCGAATGACAAATTACTTTAATGAAAATGGGTTGTTTTGTATTTATTATGTTCGAAATATTTTTGTTTAACTTTTATCAAATTTAATGTGTAATAAATTTGTTAATCTACTGTAACAAATATTTGGTTTTAGTTTTATTATTTGAACTTTTCTTTTTAATTTATGACTAATGTTATTTTAAATTATTTAAGTTTTAAATGAGATAATATAAATTTTCATTTTAAACTATTATTGAATAAATGATTGTTTGTTATTTGTCATTTTTTAATATAATAATAAAATAATCATTTATTAAGATTCAGCACATTCAACCTAGAAAAAAAATATTTATAACAACATTTTATTTAGGGCGTGTTTGGCAAAAATAGTTGGAAGCGGGTGGCTGGTAGCGGGTGGCTGGTAGCAGAAAGTTGTAGCTTTTATTTGTTATATGAGTGTGTTATATGAGTGTTTGACAAAAGTAGCTGGAAGCTTTTGAAATATATAAAATTACATAAAAGGACAATCGATGAAAAATAAATAAATATATAGATATATTTTTAAGGTAATAATGAAAATTGATTTCAAAAGCTTGGTAGCGTTTTGTTAAACGCTACATAAAGTAGCTTTTAGATTTGGAGCGTTTTATTTAAACTAAAAGATAAACGCTCGTACTGTCAAACAAAACTTTTTGTTTAAACTAAAACGTTTTGTTAAAAGCTAAAAGCTAGAAGCTTCCAAACACTTCCAAAAATTTCATGCCAAACATGCCCTTAGTATTTTATTTGTACATTTATATCACTATGTATTCAGTTTTACGTTATTAATTAAGGAGCTAATACTTAAAAAAATATAATTGTCTAAGACAAAAACAAGTTAACTAAAAACCAGTTAATTATAATTTTATAAATTTGAAAAAAATATATTAAACTGAACATCTAAATAAATTATTTATAAATTTAAAATTTTCAAAAAGTATTTATTAATTACTATATATTGAAAAGAATTAACTGAATAACCAAAAAAAAAAAAAAAAAAAACATATAAACTAGTTTTTTTTGTTTTATATTTAGATTCAAAAAATTGTAAAGTGATGTTTTTGTGATTTCGGTTTATTTGATTATCAATATCTCTTCTACTGAATATGTTAAAATAACATAACAAGTGGATAAAAATTACACAATTGAAAAGTATTCAAAAGAAGACCACCTTCTCCTTTGCACTCCCGTAAACCACATAAATCCTCCCTCCTAAAAAATCGCTACTCTCCCTCGATTTCCTCCCTATCTCTGCTTCCGATTCCCAACAAATTCAGGTTCTCTCGTTATCCATTCCTGTAAATATAAACGTATATATTAAATACACCTAATTTGGATCTCTAAGCTTGTTATCGAGCTGCAAACTCTAAAAATTAACGACGAATTCTCTGTGCATATTGCTCTATTTCTTTCGGTGTCTGCTCCTTGTTCTTATTTAATTGATTAGGGTTTCTGGAGTTGTAATAGATTTACGAATTTATATTATTCGACGTTAAAGTTCGAATCTTTCTTGCTGAAGCCTGTTTCCCTTTTTTATGCGTTTCCCCCTTTTTGCGACTGTCCAGAATAATTGATACAGTTTTCCCACAAAAAAAATTCCTTTAACTTTGTGGGAATCGAATCTTTAAGTTAGGTTTTTTGTTGATTCCACGATTGTCGTTTGTGTGAGATAAAGTGGAAACTATCCAATTTGGTTAGATTATCAAAATTTGGTTGAACCAGAGTTTGATAGTTGTAGACATGGTTGAATCCGTCGCTGCAACATCCCTTTTAGGGCATACACCGATTTTAGGGCATTACTTGAGAAATGTTTCTGTTAATCAATATGTGGCTATGCCGTCCCGATTTCCAAGATTTCCAGTGATTAAAGCCCAAGCAATGGAGTTGACTAAGGAAGCGAATTTGTACAAAGAGAAAGACCGATTCTCAAGATTTCCGCAGAGTTTCAAGGAAGAAAAACGAGAGTTGTTTCCACCTATAAACAAGGCTGATAATCCTTCATTACATAACCCATTGGCTCGACAAGAAAGAATGGGTTGTGGTTGGTTAGGCGCTATATTTGAATGGGAAGGAGTTTTAATCGAAGATAACCCAGATCTCGAGAAGCAATCATGGCTCACACTTTCACAAGAAGAAGGCAAATCCCCACCTCCAGCTTTTCTTCTTCGAAGAATACAAGGCATGAAGAACGAGCAAGCAATCTCAGAAGTTTTATGTTGGTCAAGAGATCCATCTCAGTTGAAACGAATGGCTTCAAGAAAAGAAGAGATCCACCAAGCTTTACAAGGCCGGATTTACCGATTCCGTGATGGGTCTCAGGAATTCATGAATATCTTAACCCGTTACAAGATTCCAATGGCATTGGTCTCGACCCGCCCACGTAGGAATCTTGAAGAAGCGATTTGTGCGATCGGAATCGAAGGTGTTTTCAATGTTGTGGTGACTGCTGAGGATGTTTACAGAGGGAAACCGGATCCGGAGATGTTTTTGTATGCAGCTGAGCTTTTGCGGTTTATACCCGAAAGATGTATTGTGTTTGGGAATTCGAATTTGACTGTAGAAGCTGCTCATGAGGCAAGAATGAAGTGTGTTGCTGTGGCTAGCAAACATCCGGTTTATGAGCTTTCTGCTGCTGATTTGGTGGTGAGGTCGCTTGATGAGCTTTCGGTGGTTGATTTGAAGAATCTTGCTGATGTTGAGTTGACTGAATTTGGGTCAACACCGGAATTGGAAATGGAGTTGGAGGAAGAAAACGATGGACACCCGCCTTCATCGGTAGCGGTTGATGATGGTTTCTGGTAGTTTTATTGGAATTTGTACAGTGGTTTATGGTGGGTGGCTGGTGATTGGGTGCCCTTTGTAAAAATGTAAATGGGAAACCTGAAGTTGGAAAGGAAATATATGGAAAGGTCAAAGGGTTATCTTTGATGTATAGATTTACCAATTGTGCGATGGTGTGTCATGTATGTATGTATGTATCAATTGTTACATGGGTTTGTGTTATGTATAGAAAGGTACTTATGCTCTCTTGTTTATGGTGTTTTTACTTTGTATTTCATAGGAGTGCGCAAGTAATGGAAAAACCGACAACAAAACAGAAATTAACTAAAAAATTGAACCATCTTCTTTCTATACTCTGGAAAAAAAAAATTAACATAGCCAATAGACCGTCTAACTAGCATCCATCCATTTTGAAGATATACGAGTCAAAAAAACTAGAATAATAAGTTCGAACCTCTTTTATTTATTTTTGGAAAATCTCCGATAAAGTTTTAATATTTTTTTGTCAGGTTTAATCCAAACATTTATTTTTTGAACAAAAAAGATTCGATTATCTAATTTTATATGATAATCTGTCATTTTTCAGTTGAAAAAATAAAATAAAAAATATTTCGTTAGTTTGGACAAAATATAAAAGAATCGAGACTTTTATGTTTTAAAAATAAAAATTGAGATTTATAAAATGACCCAAAATATTGGAACTTTCCCTGTATCTTTTTATGATAAATCTATCAACTCTATCCAATACTCTATGGATTTTGCAATTAAAAACACAAGGGGAATATTTATTTTGTATTTGTTGTTCAAAACGTATAAATGACAAGAAAATGTTTCCTTGTATGGGTATTGGTCATATCATTCAGAGTGATGCTTTGATTGCTTTCCCTTACGATAGTGTGTTGTTTTAAGTTGTTCTGAACTTGAAGTTTGAATACATACATACATACATACATAAGAGCCATAGATACGTTCCGTATGGAAAACGGGGCATTTAATATATTATTAGATACCTTGAGATTCGGCACTACAACCAACGAGTATTTAGTAAAGGAGGAGAAAGACATGAATCAATCAGAAATCAGAATTCAGAGCAAATGCAAATGAATACCATTCAGTTAGTAAGTAAGTACATATAGATGGATGGGTATGAACTGGAAAACTGAGTTTAAAAAAATCCAGACAAAACATAACATGCAAATGATATTGCTTGCTTCACACTGCTCTTGTTTGTATGCATTCAGTCTCTCTCCCTCTCTCTGAGTGGTGTATTTTGTTTAGACAGACATAAAATATGATAAAGCCTAGAAGTCTGCAGTAAGGAAGTTCTCAGACAAGGTCACCTGCAAAAACCATCAAAATAACACACATTAACCATTATTTGCTTTCAACAACTCGCCATGTTAACTCATGTTTCATAACCACAAACACAAACCAGCTACTTTGTAAATACAATGTTGAAAAAAAAAAAAAACTTACCTTCTGGCCCAGTTTGAAAGGAGGAAGACCCTTGTAAGGGCATGTGCCACACCTGAATGCATCACCTAGTCCACACTGCATTTTCAATTTCAAGATTCAACTATTACTATTAAATATTCTGAATAACAAAATATAAACACCAGCTTCAGCTTCTATGAGTGTAAGCATAAACAAATATAATATGTTGTAAACATAGAAATTAAGTGGTAATGCAAATATGCAATAAACAAGAGGGACTTGACTTACACTGCCACAGGCTGACTTGGGGTTCTCCAACTGGTCCATAGTCGCTCCCAGCTTTTGCACTTTCTCCTCTTCTTCAGCACGTCCACATGAGCAATTTTTGCATGCTTTCCTTGTGCTTCCAACTTCACAATCACCAACTGCAAAACCTCATCACAATATGCAATCAGAAACAACAAAATCTCACCTCATCCAATTTAACAATTCACATCCTTATCCTAAAAACAACTAACTCCTAACAGTTACCAGGTGGGAGCTGAGGTTTCTTCAAGTCCTCTTCAGATAACAGGCTGTCCTCATCAATAAGATCCATGTCATCAACAATCTGGACTTTAGGTAAGCTTTTCACTGGCTTCTTAAGAGAAAACGAAGAACCAATCTTCCAGGTAGGTTTCTTAGCCTTAATCTGTGGATAACAAGAATATTAAACCAATTTATAATTCTCACAATATTATCTTGTATCCAGCCATGGATAATGGGCTTAAAACAGAACAATATGACATGGACATGATGGATACAGATTCGAATGAACTTACCCCAAAAGATTGTGCTTCTGCAATCTCAACCACCTCTATATCTGAAAACCCTACAACCAATAGTTTACGCTTGAGAGAAGATTTCGTCTGCAAAATGGTCAAACAAGATTATTAGTATACTCAAACTCAATTCCATCCATCATGACTGTGCTTTAAGATACTAATCAGATGCATTACTGTCTCCCTGGCAGCAGCAGCACAAGTGTGATGGAAAAATACTTCTCCACCAGGCTTCAACACCCGTGACAATTCCTCCAGCAGCTTATCACCAGGAAAATCTGATGACTTACAGATGGATATCACAAAATCAGTGGATGATGAATCCACTGCCAAAGAACCTGCCACATATCAATGTAACAAAAAAAATCAGAAACTTGAATCAATTTTAAGCAACACAATAGTTTGCAATCAATACACAAGGTCCTAAAAGAGGTTAAAGACTTGTTAATGCCAGTTACTGAATTACATCATTGAAAAAATAAAAAGCTGGGACCTTGTAGTTTCAGGTCCAAGTAGCACATACTGCAATTATAAACTAATTATGCACCATCAAGCATCAATATATTAAATGTGAATTGTGAAGGTGATATACAAAGTTACAAACAAACAGGGTATGGGTCTCAAGATGTAAAGCATATATATTAACAGTTACAGATTCAGAGAATGGTAGAGACGGAAAGGTACTTAGTGATGCAGCTTGATTGATAATCAAAGGATTAAAATCCTGAACCACCTCCTTCTTGACCATTCTTACAGCATTCAAAACTTCATCCAGTGACACCACGACATTGTCTGTGATTGCCAACACACTACCTTGCACCACTTTTGTATCCTACAAAATCAGCAAGCAGAATTAATAAATAAAATCAGAAATCATTATATGTGTAAAACTGTTTCTATGTTTAGATACTATATTCTCTTTCAATATAGTATCCAAACCTGATGTGTCGATGCTGCAAGGGGAATACGGTAATTACTATCAGCTGTCAACTGACCCCACCTCAAGGATAAGCCATGGAGGGAGTTGTCAGCGCATCAAACGGCACATCCATGGGTATGATTTATTCAAAAGAGGCAATTGGTAAACAATTCATCTTTGATCCTTGATTTAAATATCAAAAGCAGTCGAAACTAACGCATAAACCCACACGAATAGGAAATACCGAGATGAAAACAATCAATATTATAGAAATTCTAAATAAAGGGTTTTTTAGGATGGAATCTCACCATTTTAGCACAACCAGTATAGCTTCTGTACGACTGATCAATAAGAAACCAAACAAAGGGCGAATTAGGGCCTGCACGTATACGGATATGAATGCGCGGATACAATATTACCGCAAATCGACGGAGGCGGCGACGGGAAGAGATGGAGAATAGCGACTTTGATAGGAAAAAGAGAATGAAAATCTTGGTCGCGTGAAGCCGTTTAGTACTTCGATACATGTACATTAAACAAATATGGATACGGCCCGACCCGGATAGGTTTAGACTTTTTCATGGGATTTTATTTTATTATTATTTATTTATTCATTATTATTAATAATATTTTAATTTTATTTATTATTTTTTTTTTTGACAAAACTACATAAATTTTAAACAAAATTTTACATATGGTCCTTATGTTTTAAAGTTGTCCCTAAAATAGTCATTATTTTTTTGCATGAATGGTCCTTAATTATAGATTTTGTAACGCCACCGTTTCTTATGACTCACACCGTTATTTTTATCATAAGTTGAATATGAAAAGACCTTTTACCCCTTTTTAACTGTTCTTTCTCTGGAAACGATTTTTGTGTGTGCTCTTCGACCTAAGAATCAAAGATATGAGGTGATTTTTGTAGAAATATGTGTTCATCTTTGAGTTCGTGTTCTTGATTTTAAGAAACCCACCATTCCAAAAACTAGAAATTGAAACAAAAAAAAATAACAGAAATCAAATGTGTGTGTTCTTCAACCTAATAATCGAAGATCTGAGGATATTTTTGCATAAATATATGTTCATATATGGCTTCATGTTCTTGATTTTTAAGAAACCTACCATTCCAAAATCAAAAATCGAAACCCAAATTCAAAGCACCATTCCAATCGATTTAAATAACCCGTCATCGAAAACCCTAGATTTCAAGAACTTAAACATGTGTATAAGCTCATTACAAATAGTGCTCAAGAAACCCATATGAAGATATAACACATGCACCTTCGAGAAGCACCTCTGTAACGTCCCATTTTTCACAATAAATTTTTCGAATTTTAATTAAGATAAAATATCGATTTCTTAAACCCTAAGTTAATAATAACCATTTGTTCCAAAAGACAACCATCCAAAAATCAGAGTATCATAATAAACGCGGAATTACAAAATACTAAATCTGTTAACGAGTGTGTACAGTCAGGCCTACGCCTTCCCACGATCATCTGAAGTACCTGAAACGTTTAATCAATAACTGTAAGCCAAAGGTTAGTGAGTTCCCCAAAATACCATATACAACAATAAACATACAATCATGCAAACAAGGCTTTCGGTGCTAGGACCGATCCACCCGAACAACATCGAGTGTATGGGCTCACAATACTCTAGTTGTTCTTGCCATCAACTCGCCCCTTGCGAGTGTCTAGACTCACAACACTTAGGTGTTGTTTGTTTTTTGTCTGCAGATCTTCTTGACCTCTTATTTCTGCGTCGCGCAAACCACGCACAGACATTAGTCTTCGCAGACTGTTTGTTTTTTTGAAGACTGCAGACCTAAAAATGTATACGCGCCCTCTTCTTGGCGCAGATGTGGATCAGAGTCTTCTAACATCTTCAGACATCTTCTAGCCTAAAAAAACACTTATGTTTTTATTTTTTTTAGTTTTTTATAATTTATATTTATTCCAATTTTATTCATGATAAACAATTTGAAAAAAAAAAAGTTACAACACTTAAAAAGAAAATGGTTTGACGACACAAACATGACATTTTTGATAAATTTATAAACAAAGATTTATTACAATAATGATCGTTGAAGTTGTTTATATAAATATGAAAAAAAATCATAATATATTCTTATATTTTTTGTGCCAAAATTTTTAAAACGTATTGTCAATTTCTTGGTAAAATGTTTATGATACGTTTTTAATTGATTTAATTGAAAAAATCGACGTTTATTTCCATCAATTTATGTATCAAATTCTTTAATTTCTAATTACAATGTTTAAGTATAATTTTACGACCAACATTGTTGGTTTTTATCAAATATATACATTAATTCGTACCATTTTATTTTCACTTTTTATACAATAATACATAAAAGTTGATTTAGATTTGTTTATTATTTATAACAAAGTCGTAAAAATATTAAAAAATACATTGAAGTTTAAAAAAATCAGTTTATTTAGATTTTAGTTTATTTTAGTAGCATGCAGATGTTAAAAAAACAAACAATCTTTTTTTTTCAGACTACAGATGTTTGGTCCACCTCTTCTACTGCAGAGATCTACAGATGTGATCCACAGACTGCAAACATTTTGCCCCAGAAAAAACAAACAACACCTTAATGTTGATCTTTTCATCAACTCACCCCTTTGGCCTTCAACATAAAACTAGTTCGCCCGCATCTTGGTTTTTCGCACAAAGCTGGAACACCTCAGCCAACCATGATATATGTCGACATATAAATAAAACAGCAAAAATATATAACCCATCATCACAAGTAACAGTCTATAAGTCTACATGTCTAACAACATACCACAGTCTAATATCATCCTAACACACTAGGATACATACTACAGTAGATAATATAGTGCGAAAACTCACCTCGAAGACAGAACAAATAACCAGTACAACTCACTGGGAATGTAAATGTCGGTAATACAAACCACCTAAATATCTAATAAAAGGTCAGACCCTATTTATTTCCTAAAACCCTAAAGTTTGACCAAAATACAGTTGGTCAAAAAGTCAATGGTCAACTGCTGCAGAACATCGCGTCGTGGCCAACTCCATGGTCCATGTAGCATGCATTTTTTCTGGATTTTGATCCAAACCTCGACTTTTTTGGTTTGACTGTAGATTTGGTCCCTCATAAAATTGAAATTACTGTTACACCCTTTATGTATTTTTTTCTTTTTTCTTTCTATTTTTAAATATTTTATTAGAATTAAATAAAGAAAAACCCCATATACCCACCCACTCCACCCCATCCCACCTTACCTCTCTTTCTTTCGTTTACAAACAAACACACATATCCACCCATAACTCCCCAAATCCCTAACCTCCTTAATGTAACATCCATAAAATTCACAAAAATTTAAAACTTTTTAAAACATTTAAAACCATTAAGTTATTACAATTTTTTTTCAAAATAGTTTAAACATCAGAGTATCTCATAGCATCGTAGATATTGAAACTTATTGTTTCCCCATCAAACTCCATCATTAAGCTTCCCGCATACACATCAATCTTCGTTCTAGTCGTCTTCAAAAATGGTCTCCCAAGTAAAATTATACCCGACTTGGAGGACACTTGTTCTTCTAAATCAATCACATAGAAATCCGTCGGGAAGACCAATTGGTTCACTTGCAGCAAAACAACTTCTAAACACCTCTAGGAAAGACACTCGATTTATCCGCAAGAGAGATTATAACTCCGGTTTCACTCAAATGTCCGACATTCAATGATTCATACACCGAATAGGGCATGACATTGATAGAAGCACCAAGATCAAGCATAGCG